TATAATCTAAATTACCAAATACAGATTTTTTTTAATTATTTTCTGTTGCATGGCAAAAATCACTAAATGGGTCTTAATCTTCAGAGGTATTGACACTTTTCTGAAAATAATGGTTTATTTGATTCACACATTTCTGTTATGTGTTCACTGGAAATGCTTTACTGCATTAATAGATCAAACCACAGGATTAATGCCCTAGGATCTTTCCTTGATGTTGCTATCAGGTTTTGAATGGGTTTGGATGCTATAAACCATTTGTTATGCCTCACAAATGTCCCTTTTTTTCAAGTCATTCTCACCGGAAACTACAACTATAGGTTATAATTAAGGATTTTGTTCAATCACATGGGAAAATTTGTTTTACTTCGATATTTCTAACTTAATTCTTCTTCTTTAAAATGGTCTCATCATTTGGCAACCATTGCAGGTCATTGAATTACAACTTCCTTCTTTTTTTAACAATTTTGACCCTCGTGCTGCTGCCACTAACTTCCCATCGAGTAATTGACTACCTTTTTCTCAAATTAGAAATTCATGATTTGGATGAACATAGTTCTCTAAAAAGTTATTATCTCAATTTGGAGAAAATTTTGACGTGTTAGGTGTACAAGCATACTTAGCTAGGCTCACATTTGCATTAGCTGCCTCACCTTGCAGTACACCTGTCTTGGCCACTTTGCTAGGATATGTAGCTGCATCCAAGGTACTTTAACTGCATGATGTTCTTGAATTAGTTTTTCAGTTTATACCAGAATTTTTGGATGAATCTTCTTTGCATGTAGGTATAGAAATAGAATGAACTGCAACTTTGGCATCCTAATTTTATGTAATAACTTTTCATTGGGTATTTTGTAAATAAAATTGCAAGCATGTCAATATGGTAAAGATACAAAGGGAAAATTATGGAATAAATATATTCAAATGGATGTTATATGTATATCCACACCTATTCTTCTCATCATTTATTTGTGCAGTTATGGAAGATATATAACAGGTTACTTCTGCATAACAGGATCCAATAATAGGAGGCAGCTTACTTTTGACTTACACAACAGGCTATGTTGCTCCTCTACTTCTTGCTGCTTCTTTTGCTGGAGCATTGCAGGTATTTAGAACTGTTTTGTTCTGAAGAAGAGTACATTGGTAAATCGTTTTGATACCATATCCCAACTTTCAGGTTTTTGAAGCATAATTTATGTTACTTCTCTTAGTTCATTTTTAAGATGAACTTAACTAATAAGGCATCTATTCATGCAGAGTTTGCTTTCGTTCAGGAAGTCCTCAGCATGGATCAATCCATTGAGGTAATCCAAATAGATTTTTTCATCATTTTCTGTGTTCTATAATAACCAACATTTACTATATGCTGCTTTACTGGAACCAAATGGAACATCATTTTGTTAAGCATGTGGTATTAATTTAACAACCATTTGGATTTACTCATTGCTCTTGTATTTTTGCTGTCTTGGGATCATGCTGCATTACAACTGTCAGGGATCTGATTTGTTTCTTAACTTCCTTGGGCATATTTCTGGTTCAATTTGATTGCTTTTGCAGCGGGGCACTTCTGCTGGGTGGTGGGGTGTATACGTTCTTGGACAGGCTTTTCCCTGCAACAATGGCAATGTAAAAGACATATCTTTTAACACACTGTACAAAACAACAGATAAGATTGAACAAAAAAAGAAAAAAATTAGAGGAACAAATGTGAAAAACTAGGTAGCACCATGTAATCTTGCACATCTTTTTGTTCCAATATAACTTATGACAATACGTTATCTTATCAGAATTGAATTGTTAAAATTCTTCTGTTGCATGCTTTAGCAAGCCATTTTAGGGATATGCAAGTTTATATGTCATAGAGTTGAGCTTATACTAGAGTTGCAGAAACATGTTACATGACAGAACATCAACCACATCAAGCGATGCCATGGAGAACTGAATGTTCATGTTTGCTTCCATTCAATCCAAGGTTAGTAAAACAGACAAGCTTAGAATGCTCGCATCTATATTTAAGTTCCTGACAAATCCCAAGTCCCAACATCAATATCATTTATTTTGGAATGGAGGAAAGCAGTTATGCAGATAAGATTAGCAGTGGCTTAATCTGACTCTGTTTTTGTTATGACATCAGGAAGAAGATCCGCAAACGTCACCACCATGTAAGTGGTGGACTAGTTTAGGTGCTGCCGAGTGCCAACGCTTGGATAAGGATGTAAAGGTATGCCCTCAAACATCCCCCGGATTAATGCATTTATATTGCTTTCCTCTAACTGTTTATGCCTATGAGCACAAACACTTGGATACTTTTTGTGGTCCTGAAATCATTGTATATTCCAAGTCACTGGTCTAACATAATTAAAGGATCGTATTCTTAAACTCCACCATACGGCTCATTGGGTCGCACTTCTCAATGAGAAGGGGTGGCGCTCACCCTCATTGGGGATCGAATCCCCAGTTTCTAACTAACAACTAACCTAACTTACTAACCATTACCTTTGTTAAAAAGAAGAAAAAGAAGAAGGATAGTATTCTCTGTTTAACCATTCAAAATCTCATTCTAATATGATCCATTGATCATGATTTAGAGTTGTGAACTCATTGAAACTACGTTGTCTGATTCCTCAGCATATAAGAATTGCTTGTGGTCACACACCGCCAGGTTCCATTATGTCATTCTTATCCTTTTTCATTTTCCAATATTGGGCCCAAACAGAAAAGGGTTCTGGGGATTCAGAATCAGACATTGAAGGAAACAAGGAAGGGAAGAGCAGATCCAACTCCGAAGTTCCATATTTTCCCGCGCTTTTGTTGGCACATCCCACAGACTCCGCCAACATTAGCCTACGACTTTTTACTTCGTCCTGTTTCTTTTGCATTTTGTTCTTTTGGAGTGAAATATGCTGCTAATTAGATCTTATACCCCCTATTATTAGATTTAGTTGTCTTATTTTTTAAATAAAATAAGGTTGATTGGTTAGATTTTTGTTATCTTGTTTTGTATTTGTTTTGTATTTTAATAATGCATTAAATGTTAATATTTCAATTTTATTCTTATATCAAAAAAGATAGAAATACTTTAAGATTTTTTCACTTAATTATTAATAAGGGTGAAAATAGAAAAAAAATCCTAATTATTATAATAAATGAATTTTTCAATAATTATAAATAAATAAAGTGAGACAACTAAATCTAACTGAAAAGAGTAATATTTTTTTTTATACATTGGAAGGTTAACTATTTAACATCACAAATATTTAAAACATTGATCTTAATTCCAAATTAAAGTTTTTATTGGTATTATATGTTATAATATGGTTTAAAAGAAAATAACATATTCTGTTAATAAAATGATTTAATTTATGATATAGAAATCGGGTGACATGCTGGGTCAACTGGCCCCACTAAATCCATTTCTTTAATTTGATTAAAAGACAAATCATGAATGTTAAGGCCATGAATTTAAAAGCTATCAGTGTCAGAATTAGGGATTTATAAGAAATTATTTCATTATTATATGTGAAGTAACAATTTTAAATTGAAAGTAGAAAGAAAAAAAGAAAACACCTTTACAAAATACAAAACCAGGAGTTGTGAATAAGTTACCAAATGAGGGAAAAGGAATTGAGCCCTCGTGGTTTATCTGAAATACCTAATGTGCCGCTCGGCTAATCATCTCCTGGTACTGATTCAACGACTCTTGCCTCTGCAACCTCATCTCCTCGTTGAACTTCTTGATAAACGCTTCAACACGGCGGTTCAACTCGTCCTGACTCAGCGATGGTTCCTTCTTAAGCTTGCCGAAGCCGGAGGACCGAGTAAGAGTGGAGTTATTTTTCTTTGGACCTGCCGTGGTGGTCTTGCTGTCGCTGAAGGTGTCCGATTTCTTCATTTGGTTCGGAAGAGGAGGAGGAGATGCGTTGTGTTCCTCCTGCACCCGCTCCCACGTGTCGGACTTCTTCAGATGCCTGGTTAACGGCATGTGACGGCCCTCCGTTATCATCTTCCACGTGCTCTCCAGCGTGTCGTCCCGTTTCGGCTTCGTCACTCCCAACGCCTTCCCTGTCACACGTGTAAATGAACGCCGTTAATCACTCTGTTTTAAAAGAAATTTGATTGAATCTGGAGAACGGATTCCGCGGCGGATCCGTCTCCCTGACCGTTCGGAACAGAAAGCAGATCACCGGTAATTACACTCCGGCGATTGCAGATTTAAGACGTGACGATTCAGGTGTGCATGGAGGAAGAGAGAAAGTACCTTCATGATGCTGAGTAGCTTTTACGGTTTTTCGCTGACTGAATCTTCTAGAAACTGGCGGTTTCTCAACCTCGCTCAACAAACTTATAAGGTCCATAGTGTCCATCCTCTCCAGATCGGAAGCTTTTGCAGGCTTAACGCCGCTATCACCACCGTCCATCGTGACTCTTTCAGCCTCCGCCGCCGGATCAACCACAACCGTCTTATCTTCGTAACCGTATCCACTCCGGTGAATGCTACTGTAGGCGTTACCTCTAGAGATCTTGCTCTCACCACCGTCATTGTATGTGTCCACAGAGATACTGTTTGGCAAAGCTGCCGTGGAGACTATCGTTCTCTCGGCTGCAACCGTCCCAACAACGTTACTGTAGACGTTTTCGGAGATCTCGCTCCCAATGTCACCATGGTAAGCCTCGACTGAGATCCTATCTGGTACTGCTGGCGGTGCCGCGGGGACGGAGCGGACGGTTTTATTGTCATCAGTAACGTCTGATTTATGTTGGAATCTAGAGGAGGCAACGATGGAGATGATGATACCGTTGATAAGCAAGTAAAGATAGGGAGGGCGTAGATAAGATATCATAACACTGTACAGTGAAGGGAGATCGGAGACGATGAAATCTGATACCAACGGAACACAGAGCTTCAAGATGAAAGCCACCGACACAACTCCTGTGGATATCAGCACCGCTTTCAGAGATAACGTTAAGTTCCCCATGCCGACGACCATGCTTTTTCTGAGAGAGCTTTAGTTGAGACAGAGGGAGAAATTAAACGAGCATGGGCAGAGGGAAAATGGAGCAGAGGAGAGAATATATAAAGCAAAAAGGAGAGGCAAGTGACTTTTGAGATGTAATATTGGCCGTTGGATGTAGTTCTGTAGGACCAAGTAGGCCTTCCACGATTTTTTATTTTTTGGACAATAATATATGAATAATTTTTTTGGCAAAAACGCTTCGTAAGCCCTCAAACATACCCAAAAATAGCATTTAAGCCGCTAAACTAAAAATGAAGTAGATAAGCCCTCCAACTCCACTAATGATGCAAATAAACCCTTCTTATTCATGGATATTCATGGTTTCAAAGTGATATTAAATATGTAATACTGTTTGTGAGAAAAGTTTATTTGCATCATTGATGGAGTTTAAAAGTTTATATGCTTTGTTTTTAGTTTAGGGACTCATATGTTATTTTGGGATAAATTTGAGGGTTTAAGAAGGGTTTTTACCTAATTTTTTATAAAATTTATAAATGTTATTAAATTAATAAATATATTTAATATCATAAATTTAAATAAATAAAAAATTATCAAACTAAATTTGTATTAAAAAATTATTTCTAAATCATATAAAAGTTGAATGGGAAAACTACTCTTTGATTTATACTACCACTTAATAATAACATAATTAATGAATTAGATCTCATAGTCTAATTACTAATAACAAAATATGTAAGGATTAATTGAATAAATCTTTTATTAACTTTTATATTCTTTTTCAGTTTCATATATTATCTTTAAATTCTTTCAATATTGTCTATTATTTTTCACATTTATTTTAATTTCATTTAGTCCGTTATCTTTAACGGAGATATTTGTTATCTTTCACGGAATCTTCTTATTTTATAAGAAAATATTTGATCCTCTAACTATATTTTTTTTTATCTTTTAGTCATTAAATTTATATTCAGCATAAAAATAGTTTTTAATCTTATCTTGCTAAATGTGTTTTTCAAAAAACTGTTTCACAGAGTAAACTGTATGCAATCTGTTCTGTAAAATTATTTAAATATCCTTAATTTTATTTTTATATTATTTTTTTAAAACATTTAAATAATTTTTCAAGATAAACTGTATACAATCTGTAAAACAGATTAATTGCCCAAGTTTGTTATAAATTTTAACTAATCTATCTTTATAAAATATTTTTTAAGTCATCATATTTTATTAGAATTATAATGTCACTTTTTTAAAATTTAAAGGACTACTTTTTTCATTAAATATAATAAAATTTTATACTGATAAATTATTTTGAAATATTGCTAAAGTTTATAGACCATTTTAGACAGAAAATAAACTTTCTAGATTAAAATGAAATTAAGTTTATAGTTAATAAACTAAAAATTGAATTAAGCCAAATATTTAATCCATTTCTTTGTTTCTTTGAGGGATTGAGAAATTAAGAAGTCAACTATATATCTCAATTATACTACGAAGTATCAAATTAACTATTTTAATACATATCAAAGACTCCCAACAACATAAGTATTGCTAAAAAAACTTAATTGTTTAAAATTAGCTAGATTAATTAATTAATTAACAATCATATATAACTAATTAGATTCTTTCCATCACCGACAGCTAACACGCAGCAATGTGCATGTGCTTTCCCCCGTTCATTTGATTTATAATAAATAAACTTCGGTAAATATTGACTGCGGGGCCTCTATTCCTTTTTTTTTTGTTTACTTGTTTTTTTATTGGAGCATGTTATTCATTTTAATTTTTTTCATCGATTTTCCTCCACCAACAACTCCACTTGACAGGTGCGTTACGACCGTTCAACTATTTTTTTCATTTACTTATGTTTAAATTGATTATTTAATAGTTGATAATTAATATTTATTATTTAATAAATTAAAATTAATTTATAAATTAATATTTCAAAATAAAGTTAAAATAAATAAAATTTAATAATATGGCTAAAATAATAAATAATTATAACCACGTCTTTTTTAAACAATAAGTTATGTTTTTATATAACCAACTACTTCATATATTATTATTTAAGGTGGGATTATTATCACATTATAAATAGTTAATGTTAAATATTTTTAATATAAGTACTTATTATTTTTTTT